TTCCCTCGTAGACTGAACGGAGGCTCCCGTCCATTCCGCTCCGGGGAAGGTTGCGGCCCGCTTGGGGGGTCGCCGCCGGGTCGTTTTTTCTCCTCCCCTTCGAGCGCGCGATGGGGGTGGACGGCGCCGCTGAGCTGCCGGCAAAGCGCATCCGCCAGCGTCGACGACGACGAGCGCGAACTCGCGCAGCGGGAGGTCGTCGTCGCCAGTGGCGGGGGTGGGAAGGAGGGGCGTTTGATCATCCGCAGCAGCCGTGGTGGGGAGAGTGAGGGAAGCGAAGGAAAGACGGCCGAGGCCCCGTGTAACGCCGTCACCTGTGGGCGAAGGAGCTGCGTCGGGGAGGAAACGGACGTGGGGTGCGAATCCCCCCCTCCCCTTCCCCCTCCACCACCGCCGTTGCGTTCTATCTTTTCATGGCCTCGCATCCCGTTGCTCATCGTGGTCGATAGGGGTTTGGTGTCGTTTTCGTGATCCTCATCGCCGCCACCGGCGGGGTTTTGCTCCTCCGAGAAGCTGGTTGAGCCGTCGAACTCGAGGCGGCGGTAGAGCTGCTTGTTTTTGAGTTTGCTGCGGAGCAGCCGCGCGGTAATGGCGGAGCCGCTGCCGTCGCCGAGATTCCCACGACAGCGAGAGTTGTTGCCGTTGATAGCCTCTGGAGTGATAATGGCCAACTTGGATTCCGGCATCAACTTCCCTCCCCGCCCCGTTTCGTCCCCCCTTTCCTTCTCTCGTGACAAGTTCGTTAATAAGGGTGAAAATAGGGTAACTAGACGCTATCGTCTTTCCTGTTCACTTTTTGATACCTTGGTTTTCTTCTTTTACTCTATATTTGCTAAAATCATAGAAAGGAGAATACAATTCCTAAGTCCCTTAGTTATGATTAGTATTGCCTGTTTTTTAATGGTTCAATATTACGCGTGCCATATAACCATCCCTAATCATATATCTAAAGGTTTTTTAAAAAAATCAAAAAGGATGAAAAAGATCAAGACCAAACACATTCTATTAAAGTGTACTATCAAAAGGTCATGCGTCACAGAAGAAGAAGAATTTTCTAAATCCTTCTTCTTAGACTAGTACGTATTCCTGCAAAATTGTTGCTTGATGGTTACTATCTTAGTTATTTCATTTGCCCCTTTCGTTTTGTTAAAAAGCACTAAAGACGGAAAACGAAAACGTAACTTTGCTCCCGCTTCTCTTTGCTTTTCCTTTAAACTGAATTTTTTCCCACAAAAGGTTAAAACCATTGACAAAATTGTCTCCTTGCGCTTTTCCCCTTGAGTTTAATTTAAAAAAATTGGAAGCATGCATATTGTTGCGCAAACTTTAAAATACGTAAAGAAGAAAAATTGGCACTTAATATCACTATTTTACCGCTGACTTGGTGGGGAAGGCGACAGGTGGTGGGAGAATAAGAATTTATAGAGAAACCATGCACCTTTATGTTGTAGTTGTATTAATCTAGACTGTTGGCTTAGTAAATTTATTGGTCCGCAAGCATCCTTACTAGTCATAGGGCGCGTTACCTTCTTGTCCATTTGATCCTACCAAAAACACTTTTTCCCCTTTCCCCCCCGCATCTTTGCCCCCACAATAAAAAAAAGAACGAAACTGAAATCTCCCTAACTCCCCCTAATCCCATTTATTACGAATAAAGGAAACTAGAGATTAAATATAGTCGAAAGGGAAAGAATACTAAAGTATTTGGGAAAGCAACAAACTGAAATAAAAACCAGCACACAGAATTCTCTCATTTGCTTTACTATCGAAAAACTCAAAAAATCGTTTAATTCTGCTCCTAACAGGATAACCTATATTTATTTACCCAAATCTAGCATTTGAAATAGTATTTTACTAAAAAATCTATAATTACTTGCTTTTAAAAATTGTATAGGAAAGTTGGATCTGCAGGTGGCATTCACGTCCACACATGCTTCTAAAGAGGTGGACGTATGTACTGCAGGAACATATATAAAAAAGGGAGCACTTTCGACCTCGGCACATGAACTCAGTTCAATATTATTTACATCAATGAAAGAAAAATACCCTATAGTTGCTCAGTATCCTTATATAATCTGTGTATATATTAACATTACTTTTTTATTTTCCGCACACACAGAGAATAAATAAAGGAAAAAACTAAAATATGAAAGCAAGATAGACAAAAATATATTTAATTAATCTCAAACCCTTCAATACTTTTCACCGTTTTATTCTAGTGCAGAGTTCCGAAGCGAATTTTAAAATCACGCTCTCCTGGGAAGACGATCCCCACGCCTTTTTTAAAAGATAAAAATATCCTCCTCTGCGTACCCGATCTTCAACAGGTTTGGCTTCACGGCAACCTGATTCATCGCGGGGGGGCCGCACACCAGCGCGAGCACCGATCGCGACCTTTCTTTTTCGTTTTCTCGCTTTTCTTCCCCATTTGCTTCCGCCGTGTTTTCCTTTTCGCGCGCATCCCCGTCAAGAGGTTTGGAGGGTATCGGGAGATGAGCCCGCAGCATCTCCTCCGTGATGTAGCCAACATCGTACGCCCAATCCGACGGCGCGTCACGATCCACGGTATACCACACCCGCACCCTTCCTTCCCCTTCCCGCACGAAGGTATCAAGCTCCTCGCGCAACAAAATATCCTCGGGTGATTGATTCGCGTAAATCAGATCGACCTCCGTTCGATCCGACGGATCCTTCCGAATCGCGTGGATAATCTGAAGGAACGGGGTGATGCCGGAACCCCCGGCGATCATCGCGAAACGATCCACGTGAAATCGACGGGTTGTCGAAGGTGGGGTGGGAATCGAGCAATTCCCTCCACCGAGGTATTCAAGCCGCCCTTTCGGACCCCGCACGTCGATCGTGTCGTTCATCTGCATTCGATAAAGGTGTTGGGTAAGGCGGCCGCCACGAGGGTACTTCGGGTGCACCCCGGCGAAGTAAACTTTGATGAGCAAATCAACATACCCCCGCGTATCGTGCGCGATAGGGGTGTAGGAGTGCACCACGAGCTCTTTTTTCCCCTCCCCGAGGTCGCATTCCGCACGGAGGGCGATGTGTTGTCCAATGGGAAGCCCCAACTCCTGGGAAGGGTGGGGGAGCGCGAAACGGAAGACGAAGGAATCCGGGCTCACCTGCCGTCGCGCCATCAGGCGAAAGGGCTGGAAATTGATCGGATCCAACGCCGCCTTGTGCACGCCCCGCCGTAAAAAGGAGATCGACATCATGCTGGCGGTGAGAAGAATCAGAAGGATCGCAAGAAGCAACGCGACCATCGCACGAGTGAAGGAATACCCACTTCTTCTCAAGGGTGGGAGAGGCGTGTGTTTTCCCCTCAGCGATAAACTGGACGTTGTGAGGGGGGCTGACAAAAAGGAAGGTCCGACGGCTTCGGAACTCGGCGTCGATACAAAAAAAAGAGAAAAAATTATGCAGTTTGGGAGTCGGATGAAGGATGCAAATTCAGAGAACTGCAAGTGGTCGACAGAGCACGTAGGTAAGCGGAAGAAACAAGTCTAGGAAAATCATAAATAAACATAGAGACGGAATAAAAGAAAGCAATGCGGGAAAGGAAATTCAAAACATCCATTATATTTGCCAGCCCTGGCTAAAATACTCGATACATCGCAATTTTCAAACTAAAGAGGAGACAAGAAAGGCAAAGGACAAGGTGTTACACTGCTTTTCATCACCCCATTCTCCGTTTACATAGAAACAGATGATATAAATACATTTGATAAACTACAGAAACATAAACAAAGAAAGAGAATGAGCTAGGATGGGAAGAAAAAAGAATAGGAGTTTAACAAATCACTCAACTTTTGGCATAGACAAACTTTTAAAATGCATACTTCTTTTTCATCATCATCGCCTCCCTGGAAAAGCAGATTTGGTATTTTCCGATAAGCCAAGGCGTTTTTACGGAGCATAGTGAAGACGATATGCACGCGCTAGACATATAATAAATGGCGATTGCCTGGAGGAGTGAAGAAGATCAAAAAGGAAGCGAAGCCACAAGGCTTATATAAACTCTTTAGTGTGTTGATATTTGGGTAAAACACAACGCCAGGAGAATGGATATTTCAGTGAAATGTGAAATGGAAAGCGTTGCACATGTAAAGGACATCGTAAGTAACCTTGATATTGCCTTTTGATATCCTGTAATGATCTCTTTCATGAGTAGATTGTGCAAACTTGGATTTCAAACTTGCGGTTGAATTTACCCCGCCATTATCTTCGTTTTAGAGATGAAGAAAGAGTAAAATGTAAAAGTTCCCTATGTGAATCTATAAAAGGGTAGGAATTAACAAATATAAATGGAAACAATAAGAGATTTTGAAGCGAATTGAGTTTATCAAACATATATGTCATACAACCTCCAAACAGAGGGAAACCTTACCTAGCCCTCCCCAGTTTCTACCTGTTACTTTTCTTTTTATGAGTATATAAATATATATGTAAAGGATTTAAACATGGGCCTTTCACAACTTTTCAACCTTCACAATCCCGCCAAAATCGCAATAGGGGGCGAGAAGTCATTAATATATTGAACTTCTATTCATTTCGTCCCGCCTTATTGACTATAAACTCCATACGGCGGGCGCTATGTTGAATTTTAGACAATTTAGGGACGGATTTAATAAACAAATGGGAATTTTCAATTACCATTTTGTGTATTTAAACACCTAAAGAAATAACAGTAGTGCTAATAATAATATAATAAATATCTATTCATCTGTCTATTTATAGATAGATAGACAAAAAAATAACGTATATGTTTATGATGCACCTCTGCCTTATTTCCTTGAGAAGGTTCTTGAAAATTCTGGGGTTGATTGCTTTCTTTTTCCTTCCCTTTTTTTTACAAGTAAAATATTGAAAAAGTTGACTTATCCTTACGATATTGAACATTTTCCTTCCCCTTCACGAAGTCTGCCTGACAAACTTTCATCCTACGCTCGCGCAGGGCGAGGAGACCAGCCTCGGTGCAAATCGCCTTGATATCTGCCCCACTCATCTCATCCTTGGCGTGGATGAACTCGCTAATATCCACATCCTCAGCGAGCGACATCCGACTGGTGTGGATGTTAAAGATCATCTTCTTTGTTTTCTCATCCGGAAAAGGGAATTCAATCTTGCGATCGATCCGTCCGGGTCGAATTAGCGCAGGGTCGAGCGTGTCGATCCGATTCGTCGCCATAATCACCTTCACATCGCTGGAGCTGTCAAAGCCGTCGAGCTGAGTGAGAAGCTCGAGCATTGTGCGCTGAACCTCCTTCGTACCGCTGCTATCCGTTTCGTAGCGCTTCGTCCCGATCGCGTCGATCTCGTCGATGAAGACGATCGACGGGGAGTTTTCCTCCGCAACGCGGAATAATTCGCGAACGAGCTTCGGCCCTTCACCTGCATATTGTTGAATCAACTCCGATCCGACAACGCGGAGAAACGTCGCGCTCGTTTGATTTGCCACTGCCTTCGCGAGGAGGGTTTTCCCCGTGCCGGGCACCCCATACAAAATAACTCCCTTGGGGGGTTTAATCCCCACCTCATCGTACAACTCTGGATGCGAAAGGGGAAACTCCACCGCCTCTTTGATCTCCTGGATTTGACTCTCCAGGCCGCCGATATCCGCATAGGTATCCGTTGGCGCCTTTTCAACCTTCATCACACTCACAAGGGGGTCGACGTTATCCTTCAAAACCCCCACAATACTGTGCTGACGGTCGTGCAGGAGGACGCTACAACCCAACTCCAGCTGCTCCTTATCCACAAAGGAAAGCAACGGCACGTAGAACTCCGCGCCGGAGATGGAGACGATCGCGTGGCCGTCGTCAATCGCCTCGTCGAGGGTGGCGACCTCCAACGGGGTGCCGCGCAACTCCTCGACTTTTCGCAGCTCCGCCTCGTAATGGGAGAGGGCGCCGTCCTCCAAGGCCGTCTGGGCCTCCCGCCGCGCCCCAATCGTGCGGAGGAGCTCCTCCTCTAAAAGCAGGTGATCCTTGCAACGCTCCAGGCGGTACTGTCGAAGCAAACAGGCGCGCGCGGGGTGGATTTTAGGGAGCCGGGTGGCGGCATCCGGGCCGGCTTTTTTCTTTCGTTTGCCGATCTGCGGCGCGACGGGAGGTTCCCACTTCTCGGGCTGCTTTTTTTGCCCCTTCGGTTGCTGCTGGCCCATCCCCTCGAGAAATCAGCTCCCCACGCGCAGAATAATAATAACAATAAGTTGTAGAAGAAGACGGAGAGGACGAAACGTAACGGAAAAAACTCCCGGTCCTGCCCCTGTGAAAAAATGCGATGAAAGAAACTCAAAAAAAAACTTAAAAAACGCAACAATCACAAAGAGAACGAAAGAACGGAGAGGAAATGGAAAGGATTGAAAAAGCATTTCAAAACTAGGTATTTCTGCCAAGAGGAGGAGGGTAGAAGTATACCTCCAACTACGTCAACAGGATCAGCCGTGACCTTTTTTCTTTTAAAAAAAGGCGGATAATGACAAGCGCGGCACGTTTTAAGTATTTTTTACTCATATTAAACTGTTAAAGCCGATTTCCAATCAGCCCTTGTGGTGAAGTAAAACGCCGATATGCTCACAAAAAAAAGAAGGAAAGACGGTGGCTGGTTCATTCACAACACAAAGACGAATATAAATATGCATTTACATGGGTTTAGAAATTCAAGCACAGGTTGTACTTTTACCTTTCTAAGTTAATGGGAAGCTCCAAAAAAGGGTTGTCATGCTGAAAAAAAAATGAAGAAGAGGAGGTGTATGCTTGAACAGCGGAGATCCTCCAAAACTCGAAAGAAGAGTCCCTTTCTTTTTTATTCTTCCTGTTTAAATTACGCTGCACCCTTTGGTGCATCACGTTCAAAATGAACGCCATATATTTATTGCTAGTTATGCTAGGAATAGAAAACAAAACAAACTACAAAACTTCTACCTATTTAGCAAAGATAAACGCCACAGTGGGCTCCCCGGCGCGGCACTTACGACGAGCCGCGGCGTGTCCACTGAAACTTTCATCGGTTGCGTACTTCACAAGGATGTTGCTCACACCAGATAGCTTGCTAATGTTATCGTTCACGCTCGAGAGCAGCTCAAAATCGTTTACGACAGGCTCTAACGACATCGCCTGCAGGCCGTACTTCTCAACGTTCGTGCGAACAAAAGAGATGAAGGCCATCGTATCCGGAATGAGGTTCTTTGGCAGCCATTCTGAGCTGGAACTGATGATTTGCTTGGCGATATCTGCGGGGAAGGTGTTGCTGTTTTCCTGATAGATCGCCTGCAGACGTTTGAGCGCGCCGACTTGCCACTCGGCATACTCGACGAGGGTATAGATCACGACGGTCTCCACCACCTTCTTCTGCTTCGTACATTTCGCCACCTGCGCGCGGATCTCCTTCACGACCTCCATCATCACGCGATTCATGACGATCAGCGGATAATCCAGCGGCGCGTCAGGCTTTGGAAAGGCTTGTACCACCACCGTTCCCTCCTTTTTCAGGACGTTTTGCCACATATGCTCGCAGAAGTGCGGCGCGAGCGGCATCAGGAGGAGCGTGAGGAGCTCGTAGTAGCGCTGCACGAGCCCGCCGTGCACCATCACATCCCCGCAGTTCAGCTTGTACTGGCTGAACTCATTGGTGAGCTCGTGAAAGGCGGTGTTGAGGACCATACGGAACTGCATACTCTCGTAATACCCATCTGTGGCAGTGGTGATGGTGTTGAGGGTGTTGTTAAAGATCTTATCGAAGACGTTGTGAGGGCCGGTGCGCATATCCTCACGGGCGAGCTGCTCCTTCGCCTGCTCAAGCAGCGTGGTAAGCTTCAGGACGAAACTCGCGGCGGTATCACGCACGAAGTTCGCATCCTCAAGCGTATCCCCTGCATCCGCGCAGGCGAGGCGGGTGGCATCCGCGCCGTACGTCTCGATGGCCTCCCCGAGCGAGATGAAATTTCCCTTCGACTTCGCCATCTTTTCGTTGTCGACTTGGATATGCCCATTGCAGAAGATCGCGCGCGGCCATTTGCTCTGGTCATCCGGCCAAATCGCAGCGTGGTTGTACAAAAACATCGTCAGATGGTTCTGAATAAGATCCTTAGCGGAGCAGCGGATGTCGACCGGGTAGAAGTACTCAAACTCGTTTCGCATCAGCTCGAGCGAGGCGATCGGCATGCCGACCGTGGCCGCGACCGTCGCGGCGTCGCCGGCGCCGTGAAAAATGTGATCGAAGATCTCATCGGTGAACATCTCCGGCTTCAGCCCGTACGGGTTGGACTCGCCCGCGACGCCGTCCAGCACGAGCGTGCCGTCCTTGGTCACATGAAGGAAGCGGCTGATGGTGTAGTACGCCATGTAGATGGTGGAGTCGGAGAGGCTGTCAATAATCATGGAGTGGCTTTCCTCACACGGGAGGTAGGTCCCTAAGCCGAAGGTCCGGCTGCAGGGCCAATCCGAGAGCCAATTCAGCACTTCGACGAAGCCGTTTCGGACGCCCTGGCAGAACAGATTCATCGATTCAAGGTGTTTCTGCACCACCTCGCGCCAGTTTGGCTGGCCATACTCGATATACCACTGATCCCCCAGCGCGACGACGCAGTCGTCGCCGGAGCGACTCGTCACCGGCCGGACCGGCTCGCAATACCGCACCCCTTCCCCGTTCTCCTCCAGCCACCGCTGGGTTTTCAGCTTGGCATCCGCGACGCGTTCCCCGGTGAAGGGCCCCGCCACCATCACCCCTTGGTAGAACCCTAGCTGATAACAAACCCGCTTGGCCTCCTCCAGAGGCTCCGTCGCGTTGGGCCCGTTGACACGGAGTCGTTCGCACATCACCTCGGCACAATTCGTCCCCAACTCCGGCACCTCAATAATCGGGACAGGCAGGAACGGAAGGACCCATTCGTCCCGTATGCCCAACTTCTTCCGGTACTCCGGCTTGTCACGGAGTTGGCGGAGGTTGATGTGGTCATCCGGGGAATCGGAGGGTTCTGAAAGCACCACCCCGGTTCCTTTCCCTTCCATGATGGTACTCATCGGGAGGGTGAAAATAGTTGGATACGGCGCCAATGGGGCGGCCAAAGGAAGGCCAATCAGAGAGGCTCCCGACACCTCAAAGAGCGGCGAGGGTTCCGCCCACTTCCGACCGTTGATAGTGAAGTCCTGGTACGCCATATTTCGAGCGGAACGCGCCGTCATCACGAAGATCTCCTCCACATTGGTTCGGTCGTTCAGGACGGCGTAGGCGCGGTAGGTGATATCTGGGCTCACCCAACAGTTCGTCTGCCCGACGATCGTCTCCGCGCGGAGGGTCGCGGCGGGGAGGACAACCCGACGATCCCCAATAATCCCCGCGAAAGGCTTGAAGGTCGGATGTGTCAGGAGATCCTGCACGGTGAGTTTTACCACCGTGTATTCCTGTGGAAGGGCGCCCTCGCCGCTAGCCCGGTCATGATCCGCGCACGGCTGCCCATCCAAGGGGGAGTAGATGCAGTAGCGCTTGCCGAAATTGAGCAGCCCGGCCTTGCGGAGTTTACGGAACTGCCAGGAGACGAAACGGTCGAAGTACGGGTTTTGCGTCGTTGTGATGAACGAGCGGCGGAAGTCGATGTGGCAGCCAAACTGACGCAAGTCCTGGATCGCGATCGGGGGGAAGTAATCCAGCCACTGCTGCGGGTTCGCGAATTTTGGAATCTCGCTATCTGGAATCCCCATCGATTGCATGATCGCCCACTGCGGTTTCGCCGGGCCGACTTTGCCGCGTTTGCTCTTGAATTTTAACAAATCCGTCAGCTCCGACGGCGAACTCGGCGACTTGGCGGTCTCCTCAGAGGAATCCGGGAAAACAGGGGGGTTGCCGTACATCTCGATCTCCTTCGCGATCTTCTGCGCGCATGCCGCAATCGGGGTTCCCGTCACGTGAAACCCAAACGGCCATAACGACCGGCACCCTTTCATCCGTTGATAACGCGAGATGAATTCTGACTTTGTGAGCGAAAAACCATGCCCGAGGTGAAGGCGGCCATTCATGTAAGGAAACGGGAAGGTGGTGAGATATTTCGGCGGGCGCGCCTCACCCGGCTGCGGGGCATCCACCTCATGCAGGCGATTCTTCTCCCAGTACGCCTGCGCGACCTTCTCAATGGCAACGAGCGTATCACGACGGGTGGTTGACATGGGATTAAAAAACAATTTCAGCCTGATTTATGGACAATATAAATGGTAATCACAATAATATGTGTATGTTTGTGAGCGTGTTTTGGGGAGCGGAAACGGGAACTTTTTCGTTCTTTGTATCCCTTACCCAGAATGCGGGCCTGATACTCGAGTTGTTATGAGGGAAGTGTTTCAATTAATGCTAGAGCGTGATCAAAGAATAAAAAACTAATGAGATGGGAGAAGAAAAAGAGAAACGCAGGTTGAAAAAATCCGCCTATATAATTTTGGGTTTTATTTTACGCGATAATCATACTACACGCCTAAATCGAAAGGTCGCTTGAGGAAAAACGTCCATACGTATGCGTGCAAAAGCGGAGGGAGAAAGAAAAGGAAGACGTTAAGTATAAAAACCCTCCCTTTCTCCCCCTGCACTAAACCTCAGGTAGTTCTTTTTTTTTGTTCGCGTGAATGTTGAAAAATATGTAACATATATTCTACATGATCTGACTAAAGTACACGGAAAGCCACGCAAAAACAGGAACATCTAAACAAAAAATACCTCCTAGTCAATGCGTTCATCTCTTCTCCCCCACTCATTCAAATAAATTAAAAACAAATGCAAAGGAGAAAGCTATACATCCCCTTTCCTATACACATTAACCCAACTTAATGAAAGGTATTCTGATATCTAAATAGGATAAACTCAGCCTGAAGAACCACTTCCAGTATCCCACGCCATGCTCTAAAAATGAACCTCTTCTAAGACGAGAATAGGATGATGCCATGCACCCAAACAACCCCCTCACACGTTATTTTCTCAACTCGCTCTCGCTCTCTCTCTCTCTCTCTCTCTCATTTTTTTCCTTTATTTTCTTTTTATTATTTGGAAGAAGAGAAGGGGGTAGCAGGCAAGGGGGCTCGATTTTAATCCATCCGCATGGCCTTTTCGACCAGCACGGGATGCATATCCGGCGGGATTTGTGAGCGAATATAATCCAAATACTGCGCATCATCCGCCGCCATATCCGCGAGGTGCTGCTGCGCGCCCGCCCGCTCAGCCGCCTTCTCTTCCTGCATCCGACGCGACCGTTCCTCCGCCTGCTGTTTTTGAAACGCCTTCAAAGCGGTGGTGGAGGCGCGAAGGGCGGCCTTTTCGGCCACCTCCGCCTCCCGCAGCTCCCCGGCGCGACGGCGCTGATCCGCGAGGTACGCCTTCTCCTCCTCGACGCTGAAAAACCCGAAAGCGGTGGCCTCCGCTTTTCGCGGAGGCGAAGACGACGAAAGCCCATTCACCCCGCCCGCCTCGCGTGCGTGGGATCGACTTTCCGAGGCCGATCGTGCGGTGCGGCGACGGGCATCCTCTCCGGATTCGATTTGATCTAAAAAGCTTGGAAACTTTTCCGCAAAAAGGTCCTGTGTTCGCTCGGTGGGTCCCGGTTGGGCGTGGAGCTCCGTATAACGCGCGAGGCCGATGGCTTTGCGCTGCTCAAATGCCTCACGTTTCGCGCGCACGTGGGGCAGGGGTTGATCGGTTGTCTTTCCGGGCAAAAACCCCTTTTCCTCACTGCCCGCCGCGATTTCCTTCTCATGATCCTGGCGACGCTGGCGAAGGCGGAGGGTGGGTGGGAGATACGGCCGGGCGAGGCTGTCGTTCACCGCCTGCATCTCCGCGATGCGCGC